ATATTAAATCAGCTACTTTACAAATGTTCAAAGAACAAAAAAAAATATTTGAATAGACAAAAGAAAACTGAGAATTTGTTTTGGCAAAAAGGGAAAAGCAATAAAAAGTAATTATCTTTAAAACAGTAGGAATTTTTAAATAAAAATAAAAGAACGAAAATGAAAACCTGACTAGAGAATTCACCAGCAGGTTCGAGCAGCAGCAGAATCAGTTAACATAGAGTGAGGTTAACTGAGATAATCCCGGCTGCAGAGCGGGAGAGAAAAGGAATAAGGGGAAATGAAATGACCCTCCCACACCTATAATATGCCATCAAGCAAACCAGCATATGCATAATGGGAGTCCAAGAAGAAGGAGAGAGAGAGAAAGGGACGGAAGGAATATTTGAAGACACATTGGCTGAATACATTCCAAAATGATGAAAATTATTTAACCTGGAATAGAAGCTCAATGAGGTACAAATAGAATAATGAAAAGAGACTCACACCTAGGCAATCTATAACCTAATTGCGAAAAGTCATAGACTAAAGAGAATCATCAAAGCAACAGGAGAGAAGTGGCTCATCACACAGAAAGGAGTTTCAAAGCGGTTAACAGCTAATTCCTCTTCAGGAACTATGGAGGTCATAAAAGTGTGGAGGTGACGTATTCTGAGTGTTGAAAGGGAAAAAAAAAAACACCAAACAAAAATTCCCCAAGGGAAGAGTACTAGGCTCAAAAGAACAATACAAAAGCAAACAAAATGCTTTTTAAGAGGGCAACACATAGAAACAGATAATTCACAAAAAATAAATGCTAACTTTTTATAGAAATACAAAAAGATGAACAATGTGTCTCACAGAAAAGGGGCAAACATAACTATAGACTGTTTTTCACCTCTCATTATGACAAAGTATAATAAAAGTTTCTTCACATTGCATAAGACTGGATTTGGGGAAATAGTACCTACAGATTTGCTAAAAGTGATTTAAATTTTTACAGCCTCTTGCTGTAAGGCAAATGGACAACATGTTTCCAAACTTACATATTCATACCTTTTCACCTGGAGATTCCTCTCCCAAATATATCCTTTCAAATCCTAAAAATGTATTCATACTTATGCACGCTGATGCATTTATTATGACACTGTTTTTATTAGGGAAGATTGGGACCTGGAATTGTCTACCAGTGGTGTTGGGGCAGGGTCGGGCAATCTCTCTAAAGGAAATGAGGAACACAACTGCTCTACAAAATAGAATACACCCACTAAAGGAGAGATTTCTCTTTCCACACAGAGCACCCAGAAATAGTAAGTGAAATGCAAGCAGCTAAACAATGTGCGTAATGTCCCTTCCTCTGGGTAGGGGAGGAAGAGAGCAAACAAATTTTAACATGCTTACAAATTCCATGCATGCCAACCTTCCACCCAGAAAAATGCAGAAGTGTGTAACAGTGGTGATCACCAGGCATAAAGGAAGCAGGAAGGAAAGAAGCAACGTAACTAACGCAGGAGAGAAAAGCAAAAGAAAGCAGGGAGGAAGGGGACCAGGAAGAAAGGGAGGCAGAGCAGGGCAGAGGGAGGCAGGATGAAAAGCAATTTGTCAGGAGCCAGACAACTCTCAAATCAAAAGCTGGAAGTCCCATTGGCAGTAACACAAAAATAAATGCATCCCCTCTGGAAATCTGAACTTTTCTTCCACAGAAAATAACCAGTGATCATCGTGTTTTCCCATTGCCCCCAGCCCCTGGAGCCTCAGATCCCAAGGAGCCAGTACGGATCCCTGAAGCCCCAGCCATAAAATCCCTGGCTGCAAGGAAGCACACAGAGAACTCGGGCAGTCAGCCCACACCAGGTGCAGTCGCAGGAAGAGAATCTGGAGGCAACTCCAGCATAAGTAAAGCAAAGTCGCTCCACGTTCCAACATCAACTGTCTATCACTGCAGCGTGTACAGCAAGTGGCAGAGCAAAAGGGTCAGAGCCCAGTTTCACCATGTTTCCCCCCAAGACCAGGAGGAGCCACACCATCAATGGTGATGTAATGGAAATGGGCTGAGGGAACTCAGGCTGAGTATTGCCTGGGAAAATGTGTGAATGAGTGTGAAATGAACCAATCAGCAGATAGATCAATCAGTCAGTATTCTATGCCATTTATGTACTATTTGCATGTGCTATTATGGCCATCAGACGGTCACCCATTCAATCACATACTATTCCTGGGGAGCTCACATAAATTTGCTCACTTGTGCTGGGCATCACTGCAAAGCAAGCTTTAATTTTGTCATTCTTTTCTTTTTTAATTTTTGAGATATTTCCTAAATGTTTTAAAACTTACATTGAAAAATGTTTACATTTGCAGGAAGTTGCAAAGATAGTACGGAGAGGTCCCATGTATCTTCAGTCAGGTTTCCTCCAGTGGTTATGTTTTATTAAGGCATCAAATTGGGATTTTTATACTGATGTGTGTATGAATCTCTATGTTATTTTCTCCTATGAAAAGATTTATGTAACCAAAACTACAGTCAGATATAGACGTTTACTATGCCAGGACTCAGATTCCATACCGGAGGGAGACGTCCCTGTGCTACCCCTTAAGGTCACACCATTCTCCTCCCTACCACTCAGATGCCCGCAATCACTAGTCTCTTTTCCATCCTCTATACCTCAATCGTTTTTAGGTTACATAAAAAGAGTGATATACTATGTGGTCTTTTGAGACTGGATCTTTTCTACTCATCATAATGCCCTTGAGGTCCTTCCAAGTTGTCATGAATATCAAGTGGATTCCCCATTACTGCTGTGCAATAGTCCACAGTTACTCTGGACGTGCCGCAGTTTCTTTAACCTGTAGCCAACTGAATGCCTTTTCGTTTGTTTAGAGCCTTTGGCTATTACTAATGAAGCTGTTATGGAATATGATGCACAAGTTTCTGGATGGACATAAAGTTTGTGCAGACATTGCTGAGGAGTGCAGAGGCTGAGCGGTATGCTAAGTGTGTTTAGTTCTTAAAGAAAGTGCCAAACTATCCCCCAGAAGAATGATACGATTTTATATTCCCATCAGCCATGTGTGAGAGAATCAGCCAGCATTTGATTTGTCACAGTTTTTTATTTAACCATTCTTATAGGTGTATCAAGATATCTCATTGTGTTCTTAATTTGCATTTCTCTAATGCCTACTGAGGATGGACATCTTTTCATGTGCTTATTGACCATTCATTTAGCCTCTTTGGTGAAATGTCTGTTCATGTCACTCACCCATTTTTTAAATTGATTGTTTGATAATGTTTACACTGAGAGTTCTTTATATACTCTACATGAGTCCTATGTCAGTTATGTGGCTTGAAAATATTTTTTCCCAGTCGGTAGTATGCCTTTTTATCCTTCTAATCAGGACTTTAACAAATCAAAGGTTTTGATGAGTTCCAGTTCCCTTCTTTTGTGAATGTTCTTTTGGTCATCATGTCTGAGAACTCTTTCCTAAGCCCTTTGTACTGATGGTTTTTTCTGTATTGACCTCTAAAAGTTTATAGTTTCATGTTTTACATTTGATATATGATTCATTCTGAGTTTTTTTTTTTAAGGTGTAAAGTACAAGTTGACATCCACCTTGTGTTTTTAGAAATCCAATAAGTCTGGCACCATATTTTGGAAAGACCATCCTTCCTCCTTTGAGTTTTTGCATCATTATCAAAAATCAGTTCACTTTATTTGTGTGGATCCATTTCTCCCTTCTTTCTTCTGTTCTATCTTTGTGCCTAACCCTCTGCAATTTTTACAGTCTTGATCACAACTATATAATAAATCTTGACATCAGGTGAAATAATTCACCCCACTGTATACATTTCAGAATTTTTTAGCTATTCTAACTAGTTTGCCATTCCATACACATTTTGTAATACTATTTTCCATATCAAAAAAGGAACTTGAGGGAATTAATTTCTGTAGGAATTTTATTAAACTTGCAGATCAACTTCAAGAGCATTACCATCATATTATACTGGCTCCTCTTATCCATGAACATGGTATGTCTATTCATTCAGATTTTCTTTCATTATTTTCATCAGTTTTTTATAATTCCAGCATCCAGGTGTTGTAAAGGTTTTTGCTAGATTTACACCGAAGTGCTTCATTTTGGAATACTATATACGATATTGTATTTTAATTTCAGTTCTCACACGTCCATATCAGGTATAGAAATACAATTAATTCTCTTGTATCCTGAAACTCTACTGAACTCACTTCTTACTTCTAGAAGATTTGGTAGATACCCTGGGATCTTCTACCTACACCGTTATGTCACCTGCAAGACATACAGAATTATTTCTTCCATTCTGATCTGTGTGACATATTATTCTGATCTGTATGGAACTGGTGTTATACAAAAGGACCGAGACCTATGGCAGGAGGACTGGGCTAACTTTAGTGGTCAAAACAATCGCTGAGGAAGGGCCATTCAAACTGAGGCCAGAGGAAAGAGTACAAGTTAGCAGTGGAAATGCTGATATACATAGAAAACGATCAGAAAGTATACAGCACAGAGAGAGGAACATGCTGGAAGGGCCAGAAGTTGAGGAAAGCAAAGTACAAGAGAAGACCGTGATAGCTAATGCACTGTTAGCAAAGAAAGAAGACAGGAATGGGGAAGGAAAAAGAGCTATTAAATTCTGTGTGTGATTCAAGATTATCAGGTAAAATAAAGCTTATTTAGATATACTGTGGTATTTTAATTAAAATAAGGAACATAAAAGAAAGGAGAAATACATAAGAATGCTTTACACGTTCCTTAATTCACATATTGATGAAATGCCAATCTGTTTGCACCTGAGAACACAGCATCTGGCCCATGGCAATTTCCCCAAACTTTATTTGTGTGAAGTTCTCTAAGTTGAGTGGCAAAGTTCATCCACCTGCATGTTTGCCTTTAAAAACCAAGTCAATCATAGCATAGAAACTCTCTGACTCCACTCTGAAACCAAACATGACATCATTTCCAATGCCAGAAGCAGTTAAAGGATCACAATGGTCTTAGCTCTCTCTACCCTTCCGTTTTTGCACGATTCCAACTGCTATTTAATCTCTCTAGCCACGGAACAGAACAATGGCACAGAGCTGACTGAATTTATTCTCCTGGGATTTGCCTGTCAACACAAGTCCTGGCATATCCTCTTCATACTATTTCTGTTGATCTATGTGACCAGCCTCGTGGGTAATATCGGGATGATCCTACTCATCAAGATCAATTCTTGCCTTCACACGCCTATGTACTTTTTCCTCCAACACTTGGCATTTGTTGATCTCTGCTATACCTCTGCTATCACTCCCAAGATGTTGCAAAACTTTGTAGGGACAGAACAATCCATCTCATTCATAGGATGTATGATGCAGTTACTAGTCTACGGTGCTTTTGCCACAGCTGACTGCTACATCCTGGCTGCCATGGCAGTGGACCGTTATGTGGCCATCTGTAACCCCCTCCGCTACACAACAGTCATGTCCCAGAGAGTCTGCATGCAACTCTTATTTGGTTCATACCTGATAGGCTGCCTGAATGCCTCTGTAAACACAGGTTTTCTTTTCTCACTGAACTTTTGCAAATCCAACAAAATTAACCACTTTTTCTGTGATGAACCCCCAATTCTTGCCCTCTCATGCTCCAATGTTTACTTCAGTACCATGCTTCTCACTGCATTTGTGGGGTTTAACTTGACATTTACTGTGTTGGTTGTCATCTTTTCCTACATGTATATCGTGGCTGCCATCCTGAAGATATCTTCTGCTGCAGGGAGGAAGAAAGCCTTCTCCACATGCACCTCCCACCTGACTGCCATCACCATTTTCTATGGGAATCTCTTCTACATGTATCTGCACCAGGGGACCATTGGGTCTCAAGAGCAAGCAAAGGTGGCTTCTGTGTTTTATGGAATTGTGATCCCCATGTTGAATCCTCTTATCTACAGCCTGAGAAACCAGGATGTGAAGGAAGCCCTGAAACAGATAGGAAAGAAGTGCTTCTAGTCTGAACGTTAATTGTAACCCAACATGGTTCAACAAGCAAGCCAACAGCTATCTCTTCTTTCTCAATAACAGAAGAAGCAGCAAATGTTTGTGAGATACAAAGTAATTCCTTAGTTATATTGACACTACTTTTAAGATTTTGTAAAATCATCTCAAGTGATTAGGTATATATTCATGTTCCTTAAAGAGACTTAAAGCTCTGAAAAGATCTTTGATTTTGCTTTTGTATGTTTCGAGGAGCTCTCTTTTTATATATGCAATATTAAAAAGGAAAAACAAGTGAATTAAGGAGAAATGCCTAACTGATATTGTTTATGTGTCTCTGTCAATGAGAGTATAAGGAATCATCAGGATAAAAAAATTTTTATTCTTCACTTAAGACGTTCGTTACCCTTGTAATTGTTCTATAGCTATGCTAATTTATTACTGTAAAAAAATTATTTTAAACCCATTGCCTTACAGGAAATGTGCAGAGAAGAAGAGAAGAAGAAAAACACAACTGAATGAATCCCCACCCTATTTGGGATATTTAATACCAACATACCTCCTTTCCTACATGTTCCCTAAACATTATGATATTGATACTGCATTTAACAAGATGTGCAGCATACCAATCTTATCACTGGTAAATATAAATTGAACCTCCACATATATCCCCTTGCAGGTGTAGATCTTACGAGAACAAAATGCAGTGCAGTGCTGTATGCTACAGAGCACACTCATTCACCCAGATTGGATGCCTTACACTCCCTAATATCCAAGAATGACCAGTGACGCAGGATTCTATGCTTACTATTTCTAGGATTCAAATGAGAACTTAGACCCTAGTTTTCCTACCATTTAAATTTATAAAAAGATACAGTCAAAAAAAGATCTAAAACTATTCCATGCACAGGCAGTGTAAACTAAAACGCTGACATCACGTGTTCCATTTCTTGTCCCAATCTCATTAGTCAGGTAAGCCACAGGAAGAAGTCAGTACGAGGGTTGACAGGATGAGGGTTAGCTACCTTTACCAACACTTCCAGAAGTTCCAAGTCCATGGGCCGAGGAAGGGACAATGGGACATAACCCAAATACCAAGAGAAATCAGGTGGTACCAGCCCATGCACCAGAGTCCCTTACAGGACAGGCATCCCAAAGCTAGGAAACTCGGATCTTACGTCGATTTCCTGGTTATCTGCCCATTCTCCCCTCTGTACAAACATTTCTACTCTAGAGTGTAAGCAAATTCTCTCGAGGAAGGAAGAAAACTTTATGATTCGTAATCTCAACCATTTCTGAGGAGGGAGACATCTCCATGTTTTATATGGGGATATGTCTCCCTACACAAACGGCCTTCAATCTAATGGCTCTAAATGCCTTTCTTAGAGGAACTGGACTGTGCAGAAGCATATATTCATGGAGAACTGTGTTCCTAATGATATAATTTTAATATTCATAGAGTAAAATAAACATATATATATATGGACAAAGGAAACACAGTAGTCATATTAAGTGTTAATTCACTTCTTCCAGCGCATGATAGGTCAAGTTGAAAAATTATTTCTAAAGAAAATAATATTTACAGAAAACACTGAGTACATTTCATTTAAACTCAGGAAATAGAGAAAAATGGAATCACTCAAAAGTATTCTTAAAATAACTCTAGAGCTATGGATCAATGCCCTAAAACTATAGAAATCATAAAACAACTATAAATAAAAACAAGGTCTAAAAATTATTTGAAGGTGGCATGATTGTGTACCTGGATAACAATTAACTGTTATCAACAACAGAAGCCAATAATTTGGATAGACAAAGATTAATATGCATAAATCATTAAACTAAATGCACAGCTTCTTACCTCATTATGACAAAGTATAATAAAAGCTTCTTCACATTGCACTAGACTGGATTTGGAGGAATACCAGCTCTAGGTTGGCTAAAAATGATTTAAATTTTTAGAACCTCTCACTGGAAGGCAGTTGGCCAAAATATATCCCAACTTACTATACTTACACCCTTTGACTTGGAGATTCCTTTCTCAAATATCTTCCTTCTAATCAGAAAGTATATTCATACTTATGCACGCTGATGCATTTATTATGACACTGTTTTTATTAGGGAAGATTGGGACCTGGAATTGTCTACCAGTGGTGTTGGGGCAGGGTCGGGCAATCTCTCTAAAGGAAATGAGGAACACAACTGCTCTACAAAATAGAATACACCAACTAAAGGAGAGATTCCTCTTTCCACACAGAGCACCCAGAAATAGTAAGTGAAATGCAAGCTGCTAAACAATGTGCGTAATGTCTCTTCCTCTGGGTAGGGGAGGAAGAGAGCATACAAATTTTAACGTGCTTACAAATTCCATGCATGCCAACCTTCCACCCAGAAAAATGCAGAAGTGTGTAACAGTGGTGATCACCAGGCATAAAGGAAGCAGGAAGGAAAGAAGCAACGTAACTAACGCAGGAGAGAAAAGCAAAAGAAAGCAGGGAGGAAGGGGACCAGGAAGAAAGGGAGGCAGAGCAGGGCAGAGGGAGGCAGGATGAAAAGCAATTTGTCAGGAGCCAGACAACTCTCAAATCAAAAGCTGGAAGTCCCATTGGCAGTAACACAAAAATAAATGCGTCCCCTCTGGAAATCTGAACTTTTCTTCCACAGAAAATAACCAGTGATCATCGTGTTTTCCCATTGCCCCCAGCCCCTGGAGCCTCAGATCCCAAGGAGCCAGTACTGATCCCTGAAGCCCCAGCCATAAAATCCCTGACTGCAAGGAAGCACACAGAGAACTCGGGCAGTCAGCCCACACCAGGTGCAGTCGCAGGAAGAGAATCTGGAGGCAACTCCAGCATAAGTAAAGCAAAGTCGCTCCACGTTCCAACATCAACTGTCTATCACTGCAGCGTGTACAGCAAGTGGCAGAGCAAAAGGGTCAGAGCCCAGTTTCACCATGTTTCCCCCCAAGACCAGGAGGAACCACACCATCAATGGTGATGTAATGGAAATGGGCTGAGGGAACTCAGGCTGAGTATTGCCTGGGAAAATGTGTGAATGAGTGTGAAATGAACCAATCACTGATAGATCAATCAGTCAGTATTCTATGCCATTAATGTATTAGTCACATGTGCTATTATGGCCACCAGATGAGTCCCCATTCAATAACACGCTATTCCTGGGGAGCTCACATAAATTTGCTCACTTGTGCTGGGCATCATTGCAAAACAGGCTTTTCTTCTCTATCTTCTCCTTTTATTTTTCTTTTATAAATTTTTCCTAAGTGTTTTAAATTTTTGAAATAATTATACAAAACTATTGTGAAATAATTATACATCTGTAAGGTGTTGCAGTTTTTTGAAGGTGTGAAGTTGGAGTTAAGGTCCACTTTTTGTCTATAGATTTCCAACTGCTCTGGCACCATTTATGGAAAAACCATCCTTCCTTCCACTGAATTGATTTTTCACCTTTATCTAAAATCAATTCACTGTATTTGTGTGGATCTATTTCTAGTTTCTCTCTTCTGTTCTATCTTTGTGTCTATCCCTCTGCATATTTTACAATCTTGATTACTATAACTGTATAATAAATTTTCATATCAGGTGAAGTGATTTCTCTACTTTCTTCTTTTTTTAGAAGTTTGTACCTATGCTAACAACTTTGCCCTTCTGTGGGTATTATAGTAATCTAGGCCATATCAAAAAGGATTTTGGAGGAATTTGATAGGAATTTTATTAAACCTGCAAATCAACTTTAAAAGCATTGCATCATATTAATTGACTCTTCTAATCCCTGAATATGGTATGTCTACTCATTTAGCTATGTTTTTGTTATTTTTATCAGTGTTTATAATTTTTTCAGCATCCAGGTGTTGAAAAGGTTTTGTTAGATTTATACTGAAGTATTTCATTTTTGGAGTAGTATATATGATACTGCACTTTAATTTCAGTTCTCATGTGTCCAATATAGTATAGAAATACAATTAATTTTCTCATGATCATCTTCTATTCTACGGCTCTACTGAACTCACCTCTTACTTCTAGAACACTTTTTGGTAGATGCCTTGAGATCTACCTAAACCATTATGTCACCTGCAAGATATACAATATTATTTCTTCCATTCTGAGCTGCTATGATTTTTATTCCTTTTGCCCCTCATTCCACTACCTAGATCTTCCAGATCTATGTTGAATAGCATTAGTGAGGGTGAGTATTCTTTTGAGACTGGATCTTTTCTACTCATCATAATGCCCTTGAGGTCCTTCCAAGTTGTCATGAATATCAAGTGGATTCCCCATTACTGCTGTGTAATAGTCCACAGTTACTCTGGACGTGCCGCAGTTTCTTTAACCTGTAGCCAATTGAATGCCTTTTCGTTTGTTTAGAGCCTTTGGCTATTACTAATGAAGCTGTTATGGAATATGATGCACAAGTTTCTGGATGGATGTAAATTTTGTGCAGACGTATTGCTGAGGAGTGCAGAGGCTGAGCGGTATGCTAAGTATGTTCAGTTCTTAAAGAAACTGCCAAACTATCCCCCAGAAGAATGATACCATTTTATATTCCCATCAGCCATGTGTGAGAGAATCAGCTGCTGTCCATCCTAGCCAGCAATTGATTTGTCACAGTTTTTTATTTAACCATTCTTATAGGTATGTCAAGATATCTCATTGTGTTCTTAATTTGCATTTCTCTAATGCCTAATGTGGATGGAATTCTTTTCATGTGCTTATTGACCATCCATTTAGCCTCTTTGGTGAAATGTCTGTTCATGTCCTTCACCCATTTTCTAAATTGTTTGATAATGTTTACACTGAGAGTTCTTTATATACTCTACATGAGTCCTATGTCAGTTATGTGGCTTGAAAATATATTTTCCCAGTTTGTAGCATGCCATTTCATCTTTCTAATTAGGACTTTAACAGAACAAAATTTTGATGAGTTCCAGTTCTCTTCTTTTGTGAATGTTCTTTTGGTCATCATGTCTGAGAACCCTTTCCTAAACCCTTTTTACTGATAGTTTATTCTGTATTAACCTCTAAAAGCTTTATAGTTTTACATTTTACATTTGATGTATGATTCATTCTGAGTTAGTTTTTTTAAGGTGTAAAGTACAAGTTGACATCCACCTTGTGTTTATAGATATCCAACAAGTCTGGC